CATAGCGAGACCTTGTTTCAAAAAAACCAAAATGAAGGACAAATACTTACCAGATGGCTTCTTTGTTTAAGACAGGGTCTCACTAAATCACCAAATTACCCAGGTGGGCTTCAAGCTTCCTCTCCTCCTGCCTCAGCCTCTCCATTGCTGGGAATATAGGTGAAAGGGTTGTTGACCCAGACCGGACACTGTAGCCAGAAAAAGCCTCAGCCGGAATTAGGGAGCTCCTGTCTCTGCCGCCCCTAGAGATTTACCTGTAACCCTATATCCCGCTCCCCTTCGGAATCTGCCCCTGGCGCCAAACGTGTGCCAATGAAATACCTGTACATCTCTAATGGCCTTAGGGCACTGCCCTAAGCTTAGGCTACTTATATTCCCCCACACCACGTGTCCGCGTGAGAGAGATCGCCAGATTTCAGTGGCCGGTGTGCCAGTCCTCTCTCTCTGTGTTCCCCAAATAAAGGCCTCTTTTAATTTATACTCCTCATCTTTTGGGAATATTTTTCATCTTCTGGAAATAATCCTATCAATAGGCATGCAGTAACTAGTGTTAATGGAATGTGGGGCACCCTCCAGGATATCATGGGGTGTATCACCAGTAGTTTGTAAGTCTATACTTGGGCAGACTGGCTCTTCGCTGAAAAAGCAGGCCCCTCCCTCATCTTCCATCAGCAACACAGGTGTTTGGCTACACACAAACACCCCCATCCCTTGCTCGTGGGCCCAACAGTACCCCAGAGCTGGCCACCCCTCAAGCATCAGCACCTCTACCTGCATTGGCCACCAGCACTGTCATCTCCAGCCTACATCCTGGGGGGACTCCATACTCCATGCAGCTCTGCCTACCAACCCCTCCTGGTCTCCTGCTGTCCACTGTGAAGCTAGCGAGCTGCAGACACAGCAGTCAGCCACCCTTCCCCAGCTCCAGGCTGTCACTATGCCGCCCGGGTCCACCCTCTGCCTGACTAGGCCTCTCCTGTGCCTGTTCCTCCCCCTGCCAGCCAGTCCCCCTCCTCACACACCTCATCTGGCACCGAAGAGTCCAGTCACAGGGGCTCAATGCACAACTTTTCAACTTCGTGATGGGAAAAAATAAAATAAAGACGGTGTAAAAGCGATCCTCAGCCCAGGGCTGGGAACCGACATATGGTGGTCAGGCCTGGAGGCCAGGAGGTGTGGGGACCCCATAGCTCACTGTGGACTGATGCCACACTGTACTCAGCAGTGGTGGGAGGCTCCCAGGATAAAGTCTTCTCTGAAAGCTTACAAATGCGTACGTACATTTTAGGCTGTTTGCTACGTGCCCTAGTGTTTTTGGTGCAGCACAGCCCAAAAGTAGACTGAGCTATACACTTAAGGACTTGGAGAAAGCTGCTGTTAGGGTTTGCTGTTATTTGGTATATTTTCCCCTTTAGTCACTGGCTTGACTGCTTTGTTTGTTTGCTTTGGTCTTTTTGAGACAGGGTCTCGCTATGCAGTTCAGGCTGGCCATGAGCTCACTTTGTAGCCCAGCCTGATCTTAAACTCGCAATGATCCTCCTGCCTCAGCCTCTCAAGTACTGGGATTACAGGAGTGTGTCACCATGCCCAGCTAACAAATACTGACCTATTATTGACCCACAGTAAACACAGTATACTTCAGTTCATGAACACTTTCGTTTTTGTTTTTACTTCATGGGGAATTTATTCAAATTTTTAAGAGGGAAATAGCCAGGTTTGGTGGCACATGTCTGTAATCCTAGCACTTGGGAGGGTGAGGCAGAATTGTGAGTTCAAGACCAGCCTAAGCTACAAAATGAGCTCAAGGCCAGCCCAAACTGCATAGAGAGACCCTGTCTCAAAAAGACAAAAAAAAAAAAATTTATTCTAAAGAGAATAAAACCAAACAAAACAAAAGAGAATAAAGCTAATCAGAACAGAACGATGAAAGTAATACAAGACTTTAAAACAAGGTAACAGGAAATTAACAAAGGCTACTATCATGCCTCTTATTTTCTTCAAAATAGCTGTCCTTCCTATCAGACATAATAAAATCAAACAAAACAAAACAGAATAAAACCTTCAAAACAAAAGGATGAAAGTGTATTTTACAGAGAATCAAATCCAACAGAATACAGCCAATCAAAACAAAACAGTGAAAGTGATACAGATTTCAAAACAAGAAAATAGGAAATCAGCAATGGCTACTATAATGTCTCTCATTATCTTTAAAATTGCTGTCCTTGGGGCCAGGGTTTAGCTCAGCTGCGTTAAGTGCCTGCCTGGTAAGTGTGAGATCCTGAGCTCCATACCTGGCACCAAAGAAAAAAAAATTGGGGCTGAGGATTTAGCTCAGGGCATAAGCGCCTGCCTTGCAAGCATGTGGACGTGAGTTCAATCCCCGGTACCAATTAAAAAAAAAAAATTGCTGCCCATATCATCAGACATAATAAAAGCAAACAAAACAGAACAGAATAAAACCAATCAAAATAGGGCACTGAACAAAACAGAACAATAAATTGGAATCAAACAAGGCAGTGAAAACAATATTGGATTTCAAAAACAACACAGAATGAAACCTCCCATGTTTTCTATAACGCATATAGTTATCCTTTAAATAGATGCTCAGACTTCTAGCTTTATACCTACAAAGTCAATCAGACAATGCATGAATGAAATTGTCTTGTTGTTGTTGTTGTTTTGGTACCAGGAATCAAACCCACAACCCCACACTTACCAGGCAGGCACTTATGCCACTGAGGTAAATTCCCTGCCCCGAGTTAAGCTGTTTTTATACCTCAGTTGCTATCAACTCAGTCTCTTCTTTCTCTTCCCAGCCCTGCGCCCCCACTGTTGGCTCACGGGAAGGGTGGACTGGCTTCTTCCTCATGAACACTTTTGTTTGCAAACAACTTGGTTCACAAACAGAAGCATTTGGCAAGATTTTGCTTTTGTTTGCAAACTGTATCATGTGACAAACAACTGGGCCATCCTTCCCACACAAACACAAATGTAACTGTCTTTTTCAAAATCATAGAACAAATCCAGTTTGTGGACTGTTATCTATTAACTGTTCTCTATTAAATGAAACAACTTTATCTCCACTAACAATAAATCAGTAATCAACAGTAATAGCCTAAAGAAGGCATGGCGGCACACTCAGGAGGCTGAGGCAGGAGGATCGCTGCGAGTTTGAGGGCAGCCTGGGCTCCACAGTGAGTTCAAGGCCAGCCTGAATTGCATAGTGAGACCCTGTCTCAGAAAGACCAACAAACAAACAAAACAGTAATAGCCTAAAGTTAACTAAGTATCTAGTGAGATTCATACAACTTAGGAAATATAGAAATGGAGAACTGGAAAATGAGAAAAATAAAATTTGAAAACTGTTCAATAGGATATGAGAAGAGGAGAGAAAAGTGAGATAGGGCATCTGCTGAGGGGTAAAAGGAAGGTAATTGTGTGTATGTGTGTGTGTGTGTGTGTGTGTGTGTGTGTGTGTGTGTGTATGTGTGTGTTTTAAACAGCTACAGGAAAGAATGAACAAGAAAAACAGCAAGAAAGTAAAATAATGCAAGGCAGGTTGTAGTGATGCTTGCCTCTAACCCCAGGAGTCTGGAGGCTAAAACAGCATAACTGCCATGAGTTTGAGGACAGCCTGGGCTATATAAGTGAGTCAAGGCCAGTCTGCACCACATAGCAAAACCTTGTCTCAAAAAAACAAACAAGGGCCTGGGAGCTCAGCGGCATAAGCGCCTGCTTGGCAAGCATGACGTCATGAGTTTGATACCCAGTACCTAAATAAATAAATAATAAAATAAAATAAAACCAGAAACAATGCAATATATAGGAAATGAAATGTAAGAAGGCAGAGGGGAAAAAAACCACTAGAGAATAAAAGACAAAAAAGGGCCGGTGTGGTGGTGCACTCCTATAATCCCAGCACTCCGGAGGCTGAGGCAGGAGAATCATTGTGAGTTCGACACCAGCCTGGGCTACAAAGTGAGATCAAGGCCAGCCTGAACTGCATAAGTGAGACCCTGTCTCAAAAAGACAAAAAAATTTTTTTTAAAAAACAGATACAGGAAAGAGAAAAATAAAAATAAAAATAAATTTTTAAATTGAGTAAAAGCCCCCACAAATTCCCTGTGTTTTTAATTTTATTTATTTATTTATTTTTTAATTTTTATTAGCCTACAGCACCCGGTATTCCCACGTGGTCTCCCATCCAAGTACTAACCAGGCCCGACCCTGCTTACCTTCCGAGATCAGACGAGATCGGGCGCGTTCAGGATGGTATGGGGTAGACTTCCTTGTGTTTTTGAATGAGTGGTTTTGTCAGGGATTTAGTGTAAGCTCCTGCCTGGCAAGTGCAAGGTGGTAAATTCAGTCCCTGGTTTCAAACAAAAAAAAAAAAAAAAAAAAAAAGGAAGGACACCAGTCCTATCAAATCAAATGAGTGGTTCCTTTCCAGGATTTGCAGCCTTGGAATCCAGCCAGTTACAATCTACTCTACTGGCTTTAGCACCTGTGGGTTTTAGGTGTCCACTGCCTGCACCAGAGGCCCCTCTGTCCATTCGCCCCAGACTGTGATTAGGGTCAAGCCAAGGTGCAGCCTTGCTCACATTGGCAGACTGCAAAAGCACTCAGCTCTCTGCTCTCTGCGGATGTGGGCCATGAGGCAGGGGTTCAAGAGGACTTCTGGGCTGCACATCAACACTTGAAGGGTCTGGTCGCTCCCTTCTCTCCCTGGGTGTTACCCCACCCAGGGTCAGGGTCAGCTTGGTTGGTTGTTCCTTTCCTCTGCTGCCCTGTGCCAACAGGAAGCAAAATGCAGAGGCAGCTTGGAGTTGGTGGATGTAGGCTCTGGCTTTGAGCGCGGCATCTGGGGTGTGAAATTAGAATCCTGGGCTGGGAGAGTCCACTCCCGTCCCTAGGGGAGGGCCTGGGCCGCCTCTCCCTGCCCACTGCCCCCTGCTGGGGCCCTTTGATTAGTTGAGTCCTTTGTGAGGTGTGCAGGAGCAGAGAGGATCCTGAGTTCAGTGTCAGAGTAGGGCACTGAGTCTCCCCGGGGGAGCAGCCCCCCAGCATGGCAAGCGTGGTCGTGAAGACCATCTGGCAGTCCAAGGAGTTCCATCAGGCTGGGGACACCCCTGCCAGGGTCGAGAGGAGGCTCCAGCTGGGCCCTGAGGCTCCGGGGGGCATGACCGGCCCAGCCAAGGGGATCACGAAGAAAAAGAAGGCCGTGTCATTCCATGGGTGGGTCTGTCACACCTGTCACATTGGTCCTCAGGCTAGCACTGCACCTTGCAGAGCCCAAGCGCCACCATGGCTACTGGTAGGGGGGAGGGAGGGTGGAAGAGAGGAAGCAGAGAGGATTGTGGGAAGCAGCCAGAGGCAGACTGGGAGGTGGTGGCCAGAGGGAGGGAGGAAAGTAGGGAGGCAGCAGATGTCAGGCAAGCCTGAATCTGGCCTTGGTTCTCTGGGTTTGGCTACTGGGTTCATTTGCCCACCTGCCACCAAGAGTAAGGAAAGAGCCCCGAGCTCAGAGACTCCCCTGTAGTCCAGCACTCCGGGAGGCTGAGGCAGGAGGGTAGCAAGTTTGAGCCTAGTTTGAGCAATTTAGCAGTTTAGTGATACCTAGTCTCAAGATAAAAATTAAAAAAAAAATCCAAAGGATGGAGGAGGTAGTTCAGTGAGAAGACCCTGAGTTCAATCCCAGTTTCCAGAAGAGGAAAAATGAGTTTATTCACAATTTGGCCAAATTGGCAGGATGGCTGGTCCTCCTGTCCTCCAGGCTGCCTCTAGGTCTCAGGTTCGCAGAACGCAAGCCAGCAAGCAGCCAGCAGAGATCCAGCCAGGCTGCACCCCCAGTCTGGAAGCGTTAAATTCCCCTTGGTGCCAGGGCCCAGGTGCAATTTAAGCTCTCACCATGAGGAAGCCGGAGAAACAGCTCACCACTGTAAAAAAATCACCACCTCCTCTTTGGTTTTGGGGGACAAGTTTTTGCTATGGAGTCCAGGCTGGCTTCAAACTTAAGAGCCTCCTCCCTCAGCCTCCTGAGTGCTGAGGTTACAGGTGTGCACCAACATGGCCAATTGTCAAAAAATTAACTTTTTATTCTTTCTTGCAGTACTAGGTGATTGAACCCAGGGATACTCTACTACTTAGCTAATCCCTAGCTCTTTTTATAAATTTTTTTTTGTATTTGGGATCAAACTCATGACTTCGCACCTACCAGGCAGGTGTTTATGCCACTGAGCTAAATACCCAGCCCCTCTGCCCCCAACCCTTTTTAAAGTTTGTTTTGAAACAGGATCTCACTAAGTCTCCAAATTGCTCCGACTGGGTTTGAACCCACAATTCTCCTGCCTCAACCATCCTGATGTCTAAAGATCCGTTTTACCGTCCCGGTTGCAGGGAGACCAGTGAAGGCAGAAGAAAGCAGGAAGCGGGGATTGAAGAGGCAGAAGAAAGCAGGCCGCAGGGGCTGAGGCGAGCGGGCCTCGGGGAAGGCGAGAATGAAGAAAGCGGGCGGTGAGGCGGGGCCGCGGGCGCGGGCTGCAGGCGGGCGGCCCACCGGCCGGCCGGGCGGGCCGCGTCCTCCATGTGCGCTGTCGCCTCCCCAGCGTGGAGCCGCGGATACCGCATGAGCCCGTGCACTGGTGTCTCAACCTCAGACGGTCCTCGGGCTGCACCAACGTGTCCCTGCTCAACCTGGCCGCCGCCGTGGAGCCCTCGGACTCCTCGGTCACTGACTCCATCTCGGAAGACAGCAGCCGGCTGGCGCTGCCCGGGCCCCTCAATGCCCCGGTCTCGCCCTGGGCTGTGGAAGACCCGGACATCAAGGAACTTCTGGTGAGAACGACTCAGGGGACAGGCAGGTGGGCAGGAGGGCAAGGGAGGCTTTGGATTTGGAGCAAGAACATTCCAAGTGTTGGGTGTGAGCCAAGCACAGTGGTGCACTCCTGGTGGGCCTGAGGCTGAGGCAGGAGGATCACAGTGAGTTCAAGGCCATCCTGAGCTACAAAGTGAGACCCTGTCTCAAAGCTAAACAAAACAAGCCAGCTGGTGTGGACAGGGGTGGTGACATCCTGATGCCACAGTAGGGGTCACAGTAAGAATCCTGGAGAGGCAGGTCTTGGCCCCCACCTGCAATGGTCAGGGAAAGTTGTCCACAATGAGGAACAGCTGTGTCCTGAAGCCAAGGTGGTGTCCCTGTGAGAAGACAGGGCAAGGTGTCCTAGGTACCAGGAACAGCCTGTGTGAATGGACAAGGCTGAGAACCGCCCAGGAGAGAGGTGACTTCATTTTGCTCCTTCAGCTGCAGTGCGGTTTGTGAGTGATGAGGCTGGAGAAGGAAGGCCCTGGCCACACAGGCTGAGAAAAATGGGTGTTCTCCTGGGGGTAATGGGGAGCCAGTGCAAGATCAGAAGAGAGGAAGGAGTAATTTGGGCTGTCTCCCCATCGACTGAGCTCCTACTGTGTGCTAGGGGGCTGCATCTCCGATGAGAGCTCTCATTTTCCCTTCTTAGAAATTCCAGAAGGGATCAGTTTAGTACATTTGGTTGGTTTTGGTTTTGGTTTTGATGTTTTTGTTTGTTGCCTTTTTTTTTTTTTTTTTTTTGTCGTCTTTTTGAGACAGAGTCTCACTATGCAGTTCAGGCTGGCCTTGAGCTAGCTTTGTAACTCAGGCTGGTCTTGAACTTACAAGGATCCTCCTGCCTCAGCCTCCGGAATGCTGGAATTACAGTACAGGCATGTGCCACCACGCCTGGCTGTAATGATCAGTTTAATGATGAAAACAGGGCTGGGGATTTAGCTCAGCGGCATAAGCGCCTGCCTGGCAAGTGCAAGGTTGTGAGTTCAATCCCCGGTACAAAAAAAAAAAAAAAAAGATGAAGACAGAAGCCAAGAGGGGTGGCATAAGCAGTAATTTCAGCACTGTGGGAGGCTGAGGAAGGAGGATCACCAAAAGTTTGAGGCCAACCTAGACTACATAGTGAGGTCCTGTCAAAAAGAAAAAGAAAGAAAAGAGTTGGGAATATAGTTCAATGTGAAGACCTCGGGTTCAATCCCAGTATCACACAGACAAAAACAGTTGAGGTAATAAATACATGATCCAAAAGCTTAAAAGGAACATCCAAGGTTGGGGGCTGAGGATTTAGCTCAGCAGCATAAGCGCTTGCCTGGCAAGCACAAGGTCATGGGTTCGATCCCCAGTACAAAAAAAAAAAAAAAAAAAAAAAAAAAACCTATTAAAAAAATAAATAAAAAAGGAAAATCTGAGGGAGATAACTGCAGGGAATTTGAAACTGTGGAAACATATTCCTGGAAGAATAGAGAGCTACTGGCCTGTCTGAAGCCAGTGTGCACACTTAGAACAGTTCTGAGAAGGGCTTAAGCTTTCACCTCTGACCTGGAAGCTCTTGAAGAAGCAGGAAGTGAGGACCAACACATAGCTGGAAATGGCCTGGCTGAGCGCCCAGTGTCCTGCACCCAGAGCCCCTCAGTAAAGGCAGTAAAGTTTACTGTTGTCCCACTAAATTCAGAAATCTCTCCAATTGTGAGTTAACTACTAAGCAAAATAAACTTCAGTGCCCACACATGACAAAGACACAGACTTCACAGAATTAGTGCAGAAGAGTCACAAAATGACAACAACAACAACGAAAACAAACTCACTGGGCGTGTTGGCACACACCTGTAACCCCAGCACTTGGAAGGCTGAGGCAAGAGGATCTCTGAGTTCAAGACCCGCCTGGACTACATAGCAAGACCCTGTCTCAAGCAAGAAAAAAGAAAAGAAAAGAAGAAAAAACTCAAAGCCAGCCTGGCAAACTTAGACCCTGTCTCAAGATCAAAAATATTAATAAAAGGGTGAGAGATATAACTCAGTGGTAGAACAACCCTGGCTCTGGCCTCTAGTACCTTAAAAAAAAAATCCTGAGAGATGTAACAATTATAAACATGTTAGAACCTAAGAGGGCTTCAAAATAGGGATTCAAGGTCAGCCTGAGCTATATAAGGAGCCTCCATCTCAAACTAAAAATAAAAGAAAACTGAAATTAGTATAATCAGGAAGAAAAAAGCGACACTATTTTATAGGCAAGAAATACTATAAAAATTTGTGTGACAACGAATAAGATAATTTAGGGCCATGTCTTGGTCCTGCACCAGGGCTGAGGAGATGCACAGATGCTCAGCGTGGGGCAAATAAGGGAGGGGAGAACCCTGCCCAGCACCCTTACCCCTCTCTCCCAGCTCTTCCCTCAGCCTCCTCCCTGGCCTCCCTGCCTTTGGTCCCTACCCTCACCCTCAAATGCCCTTTTTTGGGGGGGATGCTTGAGACAGGGTCTCATTTTGTAGTACAAGCTGAACTTGAACTCACTATTTAGCCCAGGCTAGCCTTGAACTCTCGTGAACCTCCTGCCTCGGCCTCCCAGAGGGCTGAATGACAGCCACGCATCACAATACCCAGCTTGTCTAGATGTTTTTGACAAACTTTTCTTTCCCTGTCAGAAAAGCAACTAATAGTAAAGCTAATACTGAGTCAGACAAAATAAAGAGAAGTATTCTCGCTTTAAGCCTTCAAGGAAGGATCTAAACTGCATACTATACCTCTTTGGGAATAAGACTTTAGGGGAACTTTAGCTCTGTTTTACTTCTTCTGGTACAAGGAATGTGGGATGCTGAGTAGAAGTCTGGGGCAGCGATGGTGAAATTTTCAGAGCTCTCAGTGATAACAGAAGCTCACTGTGGCATATGTACCATAGCTTGGCTACCACTGGCTTACAGTAACTTAAAACTGCACAGATCTTGGGGCTGGAGATTTAGCTCGGCGGCATAAGTGCCTGCCTTGCAAGCAGGTGGTCGTGAGTTTGATCCCCAGTACTGATAAAAAAAAAAATTGCACAGATCTCGAAGTTTTTATCAAGTCTTTTTTTCTATTTTCCTGAATAAATATCATTGGGTTGCTATAGATCTTTGATTAATTTCCGGAGTTGTGAAAAGCTGATTCTTAAGGTTTTTTCATTGTTTTTATGGGGGTGTGATTTTGGAGGTCCTTACTGTGCCATATTGTTGTCATTGCCCACATACAATATTTCTTGTCACACTTGGCCTCCAGAACAATCATAATAGAAATGTGCTATTGTCCCCATCTCACAGCGGAAGAAACTTGTTCTTTCTCTTTGTGTATTACATGGGGAACTGTGAAAGAAACCCAAGCAATTGGTATAAGCAACCTATCTTATTTTTCACATGAAAGTCTAAACAAGTATAACGACACTGTTCTTTAAATGCAGCCAGCTTTTATGTTCCAGTTGCTCTCCCATTTCTAAGCCATTATTCTCTCCCTCACCTTGCACCGTTAAGAAGAAAAGAGGGAGAGGAGCCATGCCTATTCTTCCAACACATCATCCAGTACAGACATTCCAGACCTGTTCTCTCATTGGCTGGAATTGATCACATAGTCACATAGCTGCAAGGGAGCCTGGAAATCTAGTCCCTGGTTATGAGGTGATGTGCCACACTAGTCTTAATAACCCAGGAAGCAGGGAGAATAGATTCTGCTACATACATCCACTTGCAACCGCAGGTTGGCAGGAGCCACAAAGCAGTTTATGGTGATATTAAGTAATAAACAAGCAGTCTGGGAAGTGAAGGCAGAAGGTTCACAAGGTTGAGCTCAGCCTGGGCAACTTATGACTCAGGAAGACCCAGTCTCAAAATAAAAAGAGCTGGGGATATAGATCAGTGTGAAATTCCTGGGTTCCATCTCCAGTAACACACACGCGCGCACACACACATGCACACACGCACAATGATCATGGGTTACATGGTGTCATGGTTTGAAACCAAGTTTCTGACTTTAAATCCTGATAAGGCCACCTAATGTGCTCTGTCCTGGGAGCACAGAGGGCCCTACTGTTTTTTTTGCTCCACTTGCTAAATGGGCCAAATCACTTCAAGGGGTTTGGTTGTGAGGAAATAAACAGAAGATGTGTGTAAGCTCGGCTTGGTGACTAAGTGAGTGGGCTCATCCTACAAGGGGTCCCTTTATCATTCTCCAGTGCCCTGGGAGAATGTGAAGTTCATCTTTCTATGTCAACCCTAAGGACACTCATCTGTGTTTCTGAGACCTCCGTTTGCCCCCTACATGTCTGCGTACCCCACCTCACGGCCTGCTCCCTTCTTGGTCCCACTATTACTTTTCCTCCTACTGGCCCATGAAGAAAATGTGTCCCCTGTTAGGTTTGCAAACAGAAGCCCTACAAACCACACAGGCACCACCACTGGCCAAACCATGTATCACTCCAGGGCAAAAATCAAGGGGGTAAACACAGTCCCCCATTGATGGAGTTTTTGTTGGGGGCTGGGATTTGTCAACATATCCCACTGAACCAACTGTCTCCCCTTCTTCCCCAGAGTGGGGTCAACACTGGATTAGTCCATGCCAAAGATTCTATCATCAGCTTGAAGGAAAAGACCAGCCGGGTAAACCAGCACGTGCAGACCCTGCAGGTGTGAGGACCCCCTGTACCCCCAACACCACCTCGTCCCCCAGCTTAGCTAAAGTTCCCCTCTGGATAGAGCCTGCTTCCTGCTCACCAGCCATAGCCCCACTGGGGAGCTGAGGCTCAGAAAGGAAAGGGGCCCCCCTGACCCATACCCCCTCCCCATGGCCTGTCTCTGCTCTAGAGCGAGTGTTCCCTGCTGAGTGAGAATCTGGAGAGAAGGCGGCAGGAAGCGGAGGAGCTGGAAGGGTACTGCAGCCAGCTCAAGGTGAGCCACTGGGGCAGGCGAGAGGTGCAGAAAGGCCAGGGAGGAGTGGGACAGGCGGGAGGAAGCAGAGGGAAACTCGGGGCAGCGGGGCTGGACCGGGAAGGCAGGGGCCCCGCCCTGGTGTCCTGACCCAGGAGAACTGCAAGAAGGTGACCCGCTCGGTGGAAGATGCTGAAATCAAAACGAACGTCTTGAAGCAGAACTCGGCCCTGCTGGAGGTAAATGGGGGAATCTGGCCTGGGATTTGAGGTACTGTGCCCCAGCTCGGGGTCCAATCTCTGGCAGCTCTGAGGGTGGAGGGTTTGTGGGAGGAAGAGGCCGGACGTCGCGACCCGCGCTTCTTCTGTGCCCAGGAAAAGTTGCGATACCTCCAGCTGCAACTACAGGACGAGACGCCGCGGAGGCAGGAGGTGGAGATGCAGGCGCTGGAGCTGAAGCTGGAGGCCGGCCTCTCCCGCTCGGGCCTTCGGGGGAGTCCGGAAGAGGCCTCGAGACTGCGTGGCATGGCCCCCAGCGGCTGCGGATCGGGGCCCCAGGCGGGGGAGGCACCCCACCTGTGCCAGCAGGAGCTGCAGAAGGTCTCGGCTGGCCTGGAGGAGCTGAGGTGGGCGGGGCCGGGCGGAGCCTCCCGGGCTGAGGTGGGCGGGGCCTAGGAGGAGACCCGACAGCCCAGGCCAACTGCGCCCAAGGGGTGGAGCCTGGAGGCTAAAGTGAGCCTAGCTGGGGGTGGTGGCCCACGCCTGTAATCCCCCTACTTCGGAGGCTGAGGCAGGAGGAGCCACGTGAGTTCCAGGCCAGCCTGGGCTATGTAGCGAGACCCTGCTTCAAAAATACCAAAAAGAAAGAAATTGAAAAACTCGAATTGAGCCTAGAAGGCCGAGCTTTGGGGCTGGAGTGGGCGGGGCTTATGATGGAGGGTCAAGGAGCTGAAGTGGGAGGGGCCTAAGGGTAGAGCCTGAAGGACCTCAGGTGGGCCGGGCCTGATGCAGGGAGCTTGGGGGTGGGGCTTCCAGTGACAGGAGTGGACGTGGCCTACCATGCAGCCTCTGCAGACAAGGCAGGTGAACCCAATTTTGAGGCTGAGGTGGGCGGGGTTTGGGTGGAGGCCGGAGGAGGGGGCGGTGGGCGAGGCCTATCCTAGATGGGCAGGACCTTTAGATGTTGGAAGACCCTGGGGGTCAGGCCTCATGTTAGAGTCCCTAAGAGCACATGGAGGCGGTGACCTGACCTAGCAGGACTTCGTAAAAGTAATTTTTGAGTTACAGCTGTTGTACTGGAATTCTGTCTTGCAAGAGATCAGGGCCCAAGGGTACCACATTGAGTGGACAGGCCGGAGGAGAGTGGCCGTCGGCGGTGTCAGAAGTCCAGGGGCAGCTAACAAGGGGAAGCAGAGGTCTGGAGGACGAGGGCAGATTCCCACAAGTGGACAACATATGAGATTTGAGGGACAAGTTGTGTCTGGAGCCGTGGACCTGGTCTCAGTGAGTTGAAGTCCATGGCAGCGCAACCACACCCAGTCCTCCTGTGTCGCCTGTCTCTCTGCCCCCTCAGGAGAGAGGTGTCCTCGCTGACCGCACGGTGGCATCAAGAGGAAGGAGCGATGCAGGAAGCCCTGCGGCTGCTCGGAGGCCTGGGCGGCAGGATCGACGGCTTCCTGGGTCAGTGGGAGCGCGCGCAGTGCGACCAGGAGCAGACTGCAAGGAACCTGCAGGAGCTGCGTGGCCGGGCAGACCAGCTATGCTCCTTGTGAGGGCGAGGCCCGAGCGTGGGGCGGGGCAAAAGGAGACCGGACCCGGGGAAGGGTGGGCCAATCAGCTGAGCCTACAGCTTTAGATCGCATACTTCTAATTGGAGAAGCTCCAAGTAGATTACAGGAAGGAGGCGTGCATAAATAAGGCATGAGGCATAGGGGCCATTAGGGATAGGACGAGGGGCGGGGACAAATGTCAAGAAAAGCCAGTTACAAAGGTTCCTCCAGTTGGAGGAAATGAGTTCAAATACTAAAATACAAATGGAGCTGGGAGTGGAAGGCTGAGGGGCTACGTAGTGAGTTCTAGTTCAGTATGGGCTACATGGCTAGACCCTGTCTCAAAAATAAACAAACAGAGAGGACAATCAACAGAGAACAGCCTAGCACGGTGGTGCACAACTGTATTATCAGCACTGTGGGAGGCTGAGATAGGAGGATGACAAGTTCCAGCCCAGACTGGAAATCTAGCGACCTAGTGAGAAATCTATTGCAAATAATAATAATAAAATAGAGGTGGGGCGGTGGGGATGTAGCTCAGGCCATGGGTTTATCTCCAGTAAGAACAGAGGAAGGCAGCAGTGCAGAATATGGAAGGTAGTGCTGGGCTGGGGGCCCGTGAAGCCTTGCCAGAACCTACAGCACCGGCTGCTCTCCTGCCTCAGGGTGGAGCGGTCAGCGGTGTCTCTGGCTTCCCTAAGGAGCGAACTGGAGGGGCTGGGCCCAGTCAAACCCATTCTGGAAGAGCTGGCACGGCAGTTTCAGAACTCTCAAAGGGGTCTTGACCACTCCATCAACCTTGATCGATCCCCTCAAGGCTCCTGTGGGCGCTGTGCCAGGTATGAGGGAGCATTCTGGGTCACACTGAGGACGGAGCATTGAAGGTGTTGGGGTATTGGCAAGGGAAGTGTTTTGTGGGAGCCAGGGCATCCCCCATGCAAGGAAGGACCAGCCAGGCCTGCAGCATTTTGGCAGCCACACTCTTCCGACCCATGAGGTAAGGTGAGCGTCTTAGGGATCTCGAGAGACTTGCTCTGTTTGGAGTACTGTGCACTTTCAGTGCGTTTGGGGAAGGTAAGAATGTAGTAGGTGGTGGTAGGAGCTCAGGGCATTGCACAGGAAGCGAGGCACTGAAATGCTGGAGAATAAAGAGAGAGCATGTTTAATTCATTGCAGGAGATGGAGTTTAACTTGTGCACTGTGGGAAATGTGATGTTTTGTTTGCTATACTTCATGCTGAGCTACTTCCTGGATTTTTTTAATTTTAGATTTCTTTTGTTGTTGTTGTACTGGCAATCAAACTCAGGACTTGTGCTTGCCAGGTTATCTTAGATTTTGAGACAATATCTCACTAAGTTGGCCAGGCTGGGCTTGAACTTCTGATCCTCCTGCCTCAGCTTCCCATAGGGCTGGGTTTACAAATGTGTGCCACCACACCCAGCTAAGTGCTAGCTTTTGATGGCCTTTGTAAAACAAGGGCTACCTCGCATCCATTGAGAATGGGAATCAAAGGACACCTGAAAGTTGATGGGAAGATTTCAGGGAGTACATAATGTATCAGAGCCAGAATGAGGCTAGCAGGTGAGTGTGGAGCATCTTGGGAATGGGTTTGGTACTGAACCTCTTTCATTGGATCTCTTGTCCTCCAGCCAAGGGCAGCAGTTGTCCACAGAGGCCCTGCAGCATCTACTTGAGCGAGCACTGACCCCACTAGTGGATGAGGTGAAGCAGAGAAGCCTGACTCCTCCTGCCTGTCCCAGCTGCCAGAGGCTACACAAAAAGATTCTGGTACCGGAGAGCATGGGCTATCATGTGGTGCTTTACTTTTCTTGCAAGGCAGGGGTTGGGGACCCTGGGCACAAGGGGACTACCCACATGTGGCAGGAAGGGCGGGGCTGGACTGAGCAGCAGAAATGGGACGAATTGGCTCTGAAGCATGGGGGGAAGAATCTTGGTGGTTAATGAATCAGAAGCCAATTAGCCTGCAATTTGGATGATATGCTTGGACCTAGAGCATGATGGGACATTGGATATGGTGCATTACGGGACATGGAGACGGACACTAGCCTTAAGGTTTATGGAACGTGGGCCTGATTTTTGTAGACCTTCAGAGAAACAGTGCATTATTATGGGATCATTGAGCCTCAACAGAAGATTCAGTCCTAGGAGGCTCTTGGATTATGAGAAATGGACAGAGTGGCCAGCTCCTCCTATGGCATTGTACAACAGACCAAAGCCCAGTGGCTGCTGCACTGTGGGACATGGAGATGCAATGTATTCTGGGATGTCCGCCTAAGAGATGCTGGGATATATGTGGTGGGTGAGACAGACAAGATAGCATGGAACATTGATATGGCTAAATGAGGAGCTGAATACAGGACCTGGTATATTGTGGGATACAAAGAGGGCATTAAGGATAGTTCTGTGAGAGATGCTGGTCTCAGACAAGGCAATGTGTGGCATCATGAATAATAGGCACAGAGATGATATATAGATAACATATAGGATAGCACAAGAGGACAATATTTTAGAAATAATTTTTTGCTTGCTGGGGTAGACACAGTATTAGTGCATGATGGAATTTGGAAGGCCATTGCATTATGAGAGGCCAGGGTCAGACCCAGATGCAAGGCATGATGAAAAACTGGGGCAGGATACAGGCCCATGGAACCCTGCCCCTTGCCCACCACGACCCAGCTCCCCCTCTACCCTCAGCCCAGAATGGTAAGCCCAGTGGTGCCTACACTCCTCTCCCCAGGAGCTAGAGCGCCAGGCCTTGGCCAAACATGTCCGGGCAGAGGCCCTAAGCTCCACCCTTCGGCTGGCCCAAGACGAGGCCCTTCGGGCCAAGAATCTGCTGCTGACAGACAAGATGAAGCCGGAGTGAGGAAGGAGGCAGAGGGCATGGGAGGAGGGTGAGGTCTTTGGGTCAGGCCCTGGCCTCTCCTTCCACCCCCACTCCCACCCGCACCCCTACCCCAGGTGCCAAGGCCTCTAGCCATGACTCCTGTGCACTGTCACTGCAGGGAGAAGGTGGCCACTCTGGACTATCTCCACCTGAAGATGTGTTCTCTTCATGACCAGCTCAGCAACCTGCCACTTGAGGGCTCCACAGGGACAGTGGGAGGAGGAAGTAGTGGAGGGGCTCCCACAAAACGTGGGGGCCCAGCCTCTGAACAATAAATAGCCTCTCTTGCTCTCATGAAACCTGGCTAGTTATTGGCATCAACAGAGGGGGAGTGAGCAGGACCTGGTGGCGCACGCTTGTTATCCCTGCTACTCTGGAGGAGAATGGAAAGTTCAGGGCCAGCCTGGGCAGTTGAGTGGGCCTCAGTACAAAAAGCAAAAAATGGGAGGGGTCTGGGGATATTGCTGAGGGAGACAGCACTTCCCTAGCATGGGTGAGGCCCTGGGTACCACTCACAGCACTACAATAAATAATAAATAACCAAACCTTAATCATAAGCAGTTCCATCACTTCAGAAGCTGAGGCAAAAGGATGGCTGAAAAAGTTTGCGCCAGCTTGAGGGTGAGACACAGACCATCCAGAAGGTATCTGAGGCCTCCAGACTGAAGAACCAGAGGCTAAGTCCAACAGTGAAGCCCGGCTGAGATTGACTCCTGCCGAGGAAAGAAGAGTTCAAGGGCAAGGAAACTGTGGTCCTAGATCCCAATGAAGTGGAGAAGGATACCCAGGAGAACATGAATGTCCTCCGGATTTACTTCTGTAAAAACCCGGAAGTAATCCTGGACAGCCTCTTGACTAGGACATCCAGCCACAATTCTATGGAAATTGTGAGCTACATCTCCAGCCCTACCCACCACCTGTCCTTTTTTGAGAGAAAGGAGAGAGAGGTGGAGGGTCTCTAACAGTGGTTGAAGTTGCTCAGGCTGAGCTCAAACCTGAGATGATCTTGCCTCAGCCTCCTGGAGTGCTGGGATGCCAGGGCCCTACCTCACCTGGCTGCCCTCGTGGTATCTGAATCTACAGCAAAGTTGATATCTGTTCTTACGAAAGTCATTACCTTGTTTCTGTATGTTACTTAGGAGGTCCCTTTACTTTCTGGAGAGTAGCCTATCTAGTTTTTTTGTACAAACAGTACAATACTTATCCAAAAATTTCATCTTTTTACCACATATTTCTTAGAAATTGAATGTTTGTTGTTTTTTTTTTTTTTTAACTCAAGGCAGCATGCCTATCAATGGTGACTTTTCTTTCTTAGGAAAGAAAATTCTTTGAGGGAAAAAGGGATTAAAGAAGTCAGACATGATAGTGCATGCCTGTAATCCTAGCACTCCGGAGGCCAAGCCAAGAGGATCGTTGAAAGTTCGAGACCAGCCTGGGCTACAAAGTGAGCTCAAAGCCAGCCTGAATTGCATAGTGAGACCCTGTCTCAAAAAGGCTAAATAAATAAATAAATAAAATAAAGACCAAGAGCTTTATCTATGAAAAACACTAGACTGAGGATACGGCTCAGTGACAAGAGATCTTGCCTTTCATATGCAAGACCCTGAGTTTGATTTCCACCACCAAAATAGACCACATATGCTCACAGAACATGTTGAAGTAAATGCAAAGGAACTGAAATTGTACCATACATATTATCAGAACATAGTACAATGAAATTGGAAATCGATGCCAAAGGAAACCACAAGAACTTCATAAACACATGGAAATTAAATTATACCCTTTTTAACAACCAGTGGGTCACAGATGAAATTAAAGAACAAGTTAGGCAGTTTTACAAGTAAATAGCAGTGACAGTACAACATACTGGAATTTATGGGATACAATGAAAGAAGTCCCATGACAGAGAAAGCCCCTCCCCCCAAAAAGTTCAACCTCAAACTTCTAGAAAAAGAAGAGCAAGCCAAGTCCAAAGTGCAAATGAGGGAGGAAATTATAAAGATTAGAGCAGAAATTAATGCAATGGAAACTAAGAAACGAGTACAAAGAATCAAAGAGTTGGTTCTTTGAAAGATTATGTAATTTTTTTTTTTTTTTTGTACCAGGGATCGAACTCACAACCTCACACTTGCTAGGCAGGCACGTATGCCATTGAGCTAAATACCCAGCCCCAAGATTATATAATATTGACAAACCAATATCCAACCTTATCAAAAAAAAAAAAGGAAAGAAAAGATTCAAGTCCATGCAGTTAAGAATGAAAAGGTGAAATCACAATGGATTCCTCAGAAGCCCAGAAGATTAAAACAAAAACAAAAACCCAGAAGATCACCTTTTACCTAGAGAACTCGTATTTTTTAAAATTTTTATTTAAACACTGGGGGCTGGGGATTTAGCTCAGCGGCATAAGCACCTGCCTTGCAAGCAGGCGGTCGTGAGTTTGATATCCCCAGTACCGATAAAAAGGAAAAAGACAGAGGGTCTGGGGATTTAGCTCAGCGGCATAAGTTCCTGCCTTGGAAGCAGGCAGTCCTGAGTTCGATCCCTGGTACCAATGAGAACAAACAAAAAGACAAAAGAAAAAGACAAAAAAAATTTTTATTTAAACAAAATTTCAAAACAAACTAATAGTAGCAATGGTTAATATATTGTTATCTTTAAATTAGTTACTCAGAGTACAAGATATAGGCATTAAACTATCCAAACAATATTAACACAAACCTTTTCAATGAACTAAGAAAAATAAGCAGGAAAACTATCCTATCTTGTATTACATATATTTTCCCCCTTCTTTTCTCCTTTCTCCAATCCCTTTCTCTTTCCTTTTCTTCCCATTTTAAAATATCTATTGTACATTTTGGATATTATTTATTCTTTCAGCTTCTTGTACTAGGGAAGAGCTTGTATTCAAATAAGATGGAAGATGCAGAAGAAATGGACAGATTCCTAAGCACATATAAATTACCAAAGCTGAATCAAGAAGATATAAAAATCCTAAGTAAACTATGGGGCTGGGGATTTAGCTCAGCAGCATAAGTGCCTTCCTTGCAAATGTGCGGTCGTGAGTTCGATCCCTGGTACTGATAAAAACAAAAAAGATAAAAAAAATCCTAAGTAAACTAATATGAATCAATTAAATTGAAGATGTAATAAAAAAAAAAAAACTAAGAAACTAGCAACAAAGAAAAGCTTAGGCCCTGATGGATTCACTGCTGAATTCTACAAGAATTTTGGAAAAGACCTTTAGAAGTAGAAAATACCTAATACCACTGCTTCTCAAACTCATTAATGAAATGCAAAGGGAAGCAAAATTCCCAAATTCATTCATGGCTGGTAGCAAGCATTCCCCTGATACAAAAAAAAAAAAAAAAAGAAGGAGTCAACTAAGAAAGAGAACTACAGGCCAATTTCCCTAATGAACATAGATGCAAATGTTCAATAAGATACTGGAAAACAAGGCAATAAAATATCAAAAAGATTATATAGCATGATCAAGATGGATTCATTCTAGGGATGCAGGGATGGTTCAACATACATAAATCAGTAAATATAATGGACCACATGAGAGCCAAAGACAACCATAGGATCATCTCAATAGATGCAGAAAAAGCTTTTGACAAAGGCCAGCACCATTCATGATAAAAGCCCGACCAAAATTTGGAATAGATGGTCTCTATCTCATCCTGATAAAAGCCATCTATGAAAAACCAACAGCCAACATCATACTATTCTTGTTCGATAAAGTTGGCAAGGGTTGGTTGATTTTATTTATCTTTCAAAGAATCAACTCTGTTGATTCTTTGTATTTTTTATTTAGTTAGTTAGTTTCCAGTGAGTTAATTTCTGCTCCGATCTTTATAATTTCCTCCCTCATACCAGCTTTTGACTGCGCCTGCTTTTCTTTTTTCTAGAATTTTGAGGTTGAACATTAAGTTATTTATTTGCCCTTGCTCTGTTTTCCTGATATGGGTATTCACTGCTATAAATTCCCCTCGTGGGACTGCTTTCATTGTGTCCCGCAAGTTCTGGTATGTTGTATTGTCATTATCACTTAATTGTAGGAACTGTCTAATTCTTTAATTTCATCTCTGACCCACTGGTTGTTCAGCAGGGTTCTATTTAATTTCTATATGTTTATGAAGTTCTTATGGTTTCCTTTGCCATCAATTTCCAATTTCATCACACTATGTTCTGGTAATGTGCATGGGATAATTTCAGTTCCTTTCCATTCACGTGAGCATGTTCTGTGAGCTAATATGTAGTCTATTTTAAATTTTTCTTTTTGGTTTTTTATCAGTACTGGGGATTGAACTCATGACCGCCTGCTTGCAAGGCAAGTGCTTATACCGCTGAGCTAAATCCCCAGCTCCTTTGTGGTCTGTTTTAGAGAATGTCCCATGTGAAGCTGAGAAGAATGTGTATTCTGATGTTGTAGGGTCGAACACTCTATAGACAACTACTAACCCCCTTTGTTCAAAAGTTTGGTTCAGTTCTGATAGTTCGCTGTTGATTTCTTGTCTAGCTGATCTATTTGTGACAAAGGGGTATTGAGATTCCCCAGTACAAGTGTATTAGTGCTTGCTTGATTTTTCATGCCCTTAAATATTTGGCTCATCTAGTTGAGTGCACCGCTATTTGGTGCATATATATTTACGATTGTTATTTCTTCCTCTTAGACTGTTCCTCTTTCAATGTGTGGGAAACCTCTGAGTCTGCTTCAAAGCTCAAAGGCATCTAAGGACACCTGGGAATGTGACCTCGTTTGTCTAGTGCAAGCACACAGTGGGATACAGTTGTGTAACCATGACTTAGCACAAGTAAACCTGTATACACTGGTTACAAACCTATGTAAAAATGTAAACATGAGATAACAACCTGTATAAGAATTATACAATAGGGGCTGGGGATTTAGCTCAGGGGCATAAGCACCTGCCTTGAAGCAGGCGGTTGTGAGTTCGATCCCCGGTACCAATAAAAATGAAAAAGACAAAAAAAAA